CGCCTGATGAGGTATTCTTATGCAATCAAATATACCCCAGGCAAAGACCTAGTTCTGGCAGACACTTTATCACGAAGTCCATTGCCCAGTGATGAAGGCCAAGAACTAACTGAAGAGATTTCAGCATATGTTCAGTCTGTTATACAACATTTTCCTTCATCAGACAAGAGGTTGGTAGAAATCATCAAAGGACAACATGAAGATTACGTATGCTGTGAACTTTCAAAGTATTGCAGTGAAGGTTGGCCAAGTCGTCATAAACTTTCTCAAGAGACTATTATTTATTGGGAGTACAGATATCTTATCACCTTACAAGAAGGAATTCTTATGTATGGTAGCCGAATAATAGTACCTCAATGTCTCAGAGAGGACATCATCAATAGACTTCATGAGGGCCATCAAGGTATAAATAAATGTCGTGCCTTGGCCAGACAATCAGTCTGGTGGCCTGGATTGTCAACTCAATTAGAGCAATTGATAAAAAACTGTGTAATATGCATTCAGAATCAACCAGACCAAGTAGAACCTCTAATCCCATCAGAATTTCCAGAGCGTCCATGGCAAGTTGTGGGAACTGATTTGCTGAAGTTAGATGGAAAATGGTTTGTAATAGTAGCAGATTACTATTCCAGGTACATTGAAGTGGCCAAATTGGAAAAACTGACATCTGAATGTGTCATTAATAAATTAAAATCCATTTTTGCCAGACACGGAATACCAGAGGTGGTGAGAAGTGATAACGGAACTCAATATTCAACAACAGTTGGTTCTGCTTATGATAAATTCGCAAAAAGTTATGGATTTTCCATCATCACATCAAGTCCCAGATACCCTCAGAGTAATAGCTTCATTGAGGGCCAAGTAAAGAATTTCAAGAACCACAATAAGAAGGGGGGAGATCCCTATAAGACATTATTGGCACTTCGTTCAACTCCACTTCAGTCAGGCTTCAGCCCTGCTGAGTTATTGATGGGCGAAAACTCAGAGGAAATGTTCCTATTGCACCAAGTCAATTGCAGCCCATTATTCCTGATAAGAAATACCTAGTTAAGAAAGAAGACAAACAAAAAATCGTCCAACTCCACTTCAGTCAGGCTTCAGCCCTGCTGAGTTATTGATGGGACGAAAACTCAGAGGAAATGTTCCTATTGCACCAAGTCAATTGCAGCCCATTATTCCTGATAAGAAATACCTAGTTAAGAAAGAAGACAAACAAAAAATCGTCCAAAAGGAAAACTTTGATAATCGTCACAGAGTCATCTCACTCCCAGAATTACCAGTAGGACAAAAAGTTTGGATTTCTGATCTTCGTCAACAAGGAATGGTAGAACATAATAAGGATTCTTCTCCACGGTCATACATCATAAGAAGTCCAAAATGTGTTTACAGAAGAAACAGAAAGTTCTTACATCCTCTTCCAAAGGACGTTGAAATAAAAGAAAATTCCATCATAGAGGTTGACCAAAATCAAACTGATGACATCATAGTAAGATCTCCTGAAACAAGTAATGATCTGGAACCTTCAGGCAGTAGTACCATATCAGAGCCTATTCAGAGGGAATCCCCTAAGCATAGCCAAGAAGCTGTACGTAGAAGTAAGCGGCAAATTCGAGCTCCTAGTCGTTTGGATCTTTAAGGGGGGAGATGTGGAGTTTCCTACAATGTTACTTACCCGTGACCGACAGCACAGCCACTGCCGATTATCAATATTGACATCATGACACATGATGACAGACAGTGACCGATGACAGGGACTGTTTTTGGCGGAATAGTTAGTAACCTAACATGTAACATGCTTCTTGTTGGAATCATTAAAGTAATAAATGATTATTACTAATTGTGTTTCAATACCAAACACTACACAATGCTTTCATTATAGAATTGATTCTCTGTGTGCCAATGGATGAACACTTCAATCATGTTATGATAATTGCGATATTTCCATTAGGTTTTTGTTCCTGACCTTAAATACATGTGTTAAGTTTATGCAATCATGAAGATATGTCATTTATATGTAGCCGAATATTCTCGTGTATTATATTGTTTCTACCGTAAATTGAATGTATCTCTGGCCAATTTTTCCCTATTACGTTGTAAGGAATAGATTCCAGAAATTTTATCCATCCAGTTCAAAAGGGAATTCATAGGAAAAATCGAAGCATAGCAACATATATGAGGGAAAAAAAGAAACAAATTGATGGCCCATCAAAACGAATCATTGAAATGATAACAATAATTATAATATAATGAAATCAGAATGGAATCAGATGATGATGATGGAAATAAGTTTCTCAACAACAAGTGTTTAGCATTATTTACATGAACGAAAAACAATTTTTTTGTTTCATCTCTTGCGACCACATGAAATTCCTATAATGTTTCGAAATTTCCTTACAGGTATATATATATATATATATATAAGATTGTAGGTTTAATCCGTTCCGTGAGTGGAATGTCAATTGGTGCAAGACAGTCTGTTTCAGCTCGCCAAGCATCATCAGATGCACTAGGCCAATCGACAATCCACTAACGGACCGGTCACTATTTGAAAACCAACATGTAGTCTTCAACAGTGCGGAATACGGATGTTTGGTACAGTGCCACCTACTAGCACTAGACAGAAACGTGCTATTCGGGCATCGACGCAGGAGTACAGATATCTCTGTTACTACACCTACGTCCCCCGACTGCACCTCGATAATGTGGATGACCACAGGACAGAGTAAAGAAGAAGAAGAAAGATATTGTGTATGTGTATGTTCATACACAATATCTTTCTTCTTCTTCTTTACTCTGTCCTGTGGTCATCCACACTATCGAGGTGCAGTCGGGGGACGTAGGTGTAGTAACAGAGATATCTGTACTCCTGCGTCGATGCCCGAATAGCACGTTTCAGATGTCTAGTGCTAGTAGGTGGCACTGTACCAAACATCCGTATTCCGCACTGTTGAAGACTACATGTTGGTCTTCAAATAGTGACCGGTCCGTGAGTGGATTGTCGATTGGCCTAGTGCAACTGATGATGCTTGGAGAGCTGAAACAGACTGTCTTGCACCAATTGACATTCCACTCACGGAACGGATTAAACCTATAATCTTTTACTTCATACTCTGACTCTGTGTTCATACACAATATCTTTCTTCTTCTTCTTTACTCTGTCTGTGGTTAATACCACACTATCGAGGTGCACTCGGGGCACATAGGTGTAGTAACAGAGAAATCTGTACTCCTACGTCGCTGCCCGAAAAGCACGTTTCTGTCTAGTGCTAGTAGGTGGCACTGTACCAAACATCCGTATTCCGCACTGTTGAAGACTACATGTTGGTCTTCAAATAGTGACCGGTCCGTGAGTGGATTGTCGATTGGCCTAGTGCAACTGATGATGCTTGGAGAGCTGAAACAGACTGTCTTGCACCAATTGACATTCCACTCACGGAACGGATTAAACCTACAATCTTTTACTTCATACTCTGGCTCTGTGTTCATACACAATATCTTTCTTCTTCTTCTTTACTCTGTCTGTGGTTAATACCACACTATCGAGGTGCACTCGGGGCACGTAGGTGTAGTAACAGAGAAATCTGTACTCCTACGTCGCTGCCCGAAAAGCACGTTTCTGTCTAGTGCTAGTAGGTGGCACTGTACCAAACATCCGTATTCCGCACTGTTGAAGACTACATGTTGGTCTTCAAATAGTGACCGGTCCGTGAGTGGATTGTCGATTGGCCTAGTGCAACTGATGATGCTTGGAGAGCTGAAACAGACTGTCTTGCACCAATTGACATTCCACTCACGGAACGGATTAAACCTACAATCTTTTACTTCATACTCTGGCTCTGTGTTCATACACAATATCTTTCTTCTTCTTCTTTACTCTGTCTGTGGTTAATACCACACTATCGAGGTGCACTCGGGGCACGTAGGTGTAGTAACAGAGAAATCTGTACTCCTACGTCGCTGCCCGAAAAGCACGTTTCTGTCTAGTGCTAGTAGGTGTGGCACTGTACCAAACATCCGTATTCCGCACTGTTGAAGACTACATGTTGGTCTTCAAATAGTGACCGGTCCGTGAGTGGATTGTCGATTGTCCTAGTGCAACTGATGATGCTTGGAGAGCTGAAACAGACTGTCTTGCACCAATTGACATTCCACTCACGGAACGGATTAAACCTACAATCTTTTACTTCATACTCTGGCTCTGTGTTCATACACAATATCTTTCTTCTTCTTCTTTACTCTGTCTGTGGTTAATACCACACTATCGAGGTGCACTCGGGACACGTAGGTGTAGTAACAGAGAAATCTGTACTCCTACGTCGCTGCCCGAAAAGCACGTTACTGTCTAGTGCTAGTAGGTGGCACTGTACCAAACATCCGTATTCCGCACTGTTGAAGACTACATGTTGGTCTTCAAATAGTGACCGGTCCGTGACTGGATTGTCGATTGGCCTAGTGCAACTGATGATGCTTGGAGAGCTGAAACAGACTGTCTTGCACCAATTGACATTCCACTCACGGAACGGATTAAACCTACAATCTTTTACTTCATACTCTGGCTCTGTGTTCATACACAATATCTTTCTTCTTCTTCTTTACTCTGTCTGTGGTTAATACCACACTATCGAGGTGCACTCGGGGCACGTAGGTGTAGTAACAGAGAAATCTGTACTCCTACGTCGCTGCCCGAAAAGCACGTTTCTGTCTAGTGCTAGTAGGTGGCACTGTACCAAACATCCGTATTCCGCACTGTTGAAGACTACATGTTGGTCTTCAAATAGTGACCGGTGAGTGGATTGTCGATTGGCTTAGTGCAACTGATGATGCTTGGAGAGCTGAAACAGACTGTCTTGCACCAATTGACATTCCACTCACGGAACGGATTAAACCTACAATCTTTTACTTCATACTCTGGCTCTGTGTTCATACACAATATCTTTCTTAAAACATATACGTGTCACCCGGTACATCAGCTACGAAATGGTCTCTTATTAAAACAACATTTACAATAAGCGGTCTTATACTTCATATTTGATAATATTATCAATTGTTGACCTGAATATAATGAATGATATTTATATTTCTATCCATAATCAGGTTTCTCGTTCAGCTGTGAATGGATAATCGTAGTCAATCAAGAGTTGTTGCATCGTTCTTGCTCTAATCTTGGGGAACTGAAACTGAAAAAAAAGTAGAAACAGTATTCAAAATCGAGAAAATTACACATGGTATCCCGGAGCTTTAAGACCTGTATGATGAACATCAATTCATTGTACAACTGACAAATTAACTACACCTTTTCCAGATGTATTTCAGAAAGCGTAAATTCAATTTCAGAAAATATCATTAGAATTTCAGAAAGCATCAAGATCGATTAGTTAGTAGAAAGTGCACCCCATGTAAGAATGCATAGGATGTTCAGTGCTGTCTGTAGTGATGTTTTCAATTTAATCAAATTCCTTTTTTAGGTACCTTCAGGTACCTTTATACTATTTGATGAACAGATTACAAAATTCCATGTATATGTGACCATCAGAGATTAACTCATTTCTATTGCTATGATATTTTCACGATTTTTTGAGCTGTTTGGCAGGAGAACACCCTGTGGAAAGTGTCTGGCTATTGTGTATTCTCTTTCATGATAGGGTCCGATTGAACATAAAAAGATCAGCTTTTGTTGAAATGATGTTTTTGTCAGTTTTTTTTGTACTCTCTGTAATAGGAACAATCTATGTAGATTGACATGACAATCATGACACATGTCAAGTCAAGCTTAAAGAGCGGAAGCTATCCATTATAATAAACCAGTCTCACACAAGCAGTTGTTGAGTACACTTCATTTCAAGTCCTCTCTCCCCTCTCCCATCAGTGCACCCATCACATCCCAGTCAACACACGGACATTCGATGGACATCCATTGGACGTCCATTTAGGATATTTGGGATATCCAGAGAATATCCAGTGATATCCGATGTATATCTTATGGACGTCCAATGGACGTGCCGAGTGGAAGGAGTTGGACTTCTATAGGATATCCTTCAGGGACATCCATAAGACATATGGCGCTGCGGACATATGAACAAGGTTAGTTTCATGGACGTATTAGTTTAGTTATTGAAAAATAACGCGGCCATCATATAACATTGTGAAGATTATATGGAATAATTTAGTAAAAATGGACTATCGAGGTATACTGCAGATGGTATTTTCCGGAAATGTGTCCGATAGTTGGAGATTTTGGAAACAGAAATTTGAAGTATATTTAATTGCAACAGAACTAAATTTGAAGAATGAAGAGTTGCAATGTGCACAATTATTGACCCTTATTGGGGATGAGGGGATGAGAATATTCAATACCTTCAAGTTTGAAGAGGAAGATAAAAATAAGATCAAGAAATTGATAGAAAAGTTTGATGACTATTTTTTGCCAAAGAAGAATGTGAATTTTGATAGATATTTGTTCTTGAAATGTAAACAGCAAGAAGGCCAGAGTTTGGAAAATTATATTACGGAGGTGAAAAGTCTAGCTGCAAGTTTTGAACTTGGTAATCTTGAGGATACATTGCTGCAATCAATCATTACACAGACAGCCTACGAGAAAAGCTATTTTCACAAGAGTTCAAGACGTTGGATGATATGATAAGGGCTTGTATCAGTTCAGAATGCACGAAAAAACAAACCAGAGCAATGTCCCATGGTAAAAGTATGTCGTCCTACCCAATGCAGTCTATATCGAAGGTGCGGAATCAAGATCAACTGAGAAGGGATGTAAGGAACAGATGTCAGAGATGTGGCTATTTACATGGAAATCAGCAAACCTGTCCAGCACAAGGGAAAAAATGCAGGTCATGTAATTTTTTCAATCATTTTTCTTCAGTCTGTAGAAATGCTAAAAAATTCAATAATATTGTTAGTAGAAATTTCAGAGCAGGTGGCAAACAACAAAAAATACTTTGCGTAAATGTATCCTAGATGGTGAAGCTCCATATTCAGCTTTGCTAGATTTAAGAAACACTTCCACTGATGGAAAACACAGTCCTGTCAATATACTCATGTGTAAAAATTTAAAATCTTTGTTGCCTCTAAATAATAAAAGTTTGCAATCAAAAATGTACAATAAAAATCAGTACAGTCAATATTTGAAAAATTCACAGAGTAAGCAAAAATTCTATTATGATAGAGGAACAAGACGATTACGTAAGTTACTAATACAGGAAACTGTGATGGTACAAATAATTCCAAAAGGTATTTGGCATGGGGGTGTTATCACGTTATCAAGTATTGGGTAATCGATCATATGAGATTTGCCTAAGAAATGGTAGAATGTATGTAAGAAATCGTAGGTTCATGAAACCATGTCAAACACAAAATAACATTCAAAATTCTTCCAGATGGAGAAAATCCTTGCAAAATAATGATTATTCTCAGAACCTTCCGACAAATACAACTGATAATTTTTATAGCTCTCAAAACAATTGTTTCAGTCAACAGTTTAGTCAAACTCCCTATTTGAAGAATTTGAAAATGTCAGAAGCTATAACAGTTGAACAAAGTTCATCCACAGATAACTCTCTTAATTCTTCACTATCAAAAAGTTCAGATATGAATGTAAATAATAGAGAGTTGAAGTAATCACTATACGTAGACCTCCACGTAGATGTTAAGGTACGAAAAATAACGTTTACGTATTGTCGCTAAATTGAGTTGAAGTCGTCACTGTCATCATAACGTAATAAAACATTTTGTTTTCGGTTTGTATTGGTCAATTTTGGTTGTGTGTTTGGATTCGAACATTTATTCCTGTCAAAATGAGAGGACTCCTTGATGCAGAACTCGTTGGGGATCCCAAATTTGATAATTTTGACTCATCGGCATATTTCGAGTATAGTTTGGTTAACGTACGTTGATATTTGAGGTATACGTGAAGGTACGTGAGATAACGTACACCCGTAAGCCCACTAACAACGCAAACGTGAAGAATTGGAAAATGCGCATGCGTAGCTGTCAATTTCTACGTTTACGTTAACGTTCATGACAACACTTCAACTCTCTAATGATAATTTACAGAACAATGATTGTTCTATGACCAATGACGATGTAAGAAATGACACTGATGGCTGTAGTAATAGTGAAATTGACGATAATAAAAATGATAGTTTAGATAGTAGTGACAATCAAAATTCTTGTGAAAACAGTTCTGAAAATGCTTCAAACAGTAACTTAAACACTAGTTTTAATCTTGATGATAGTACTAATCCTAGTTTCATCTCAACTTCAAGTGAACAAACATTGGTTCCTGAAAATTTCACAACCAAATCTGGTAGAAAGATTAATAGACCAGCTAGGTACTTTTACTAAAATTTTCTAGATCTATTACATAATAGACAATGTCAGACGAGTTTAAGGTAAAGAATTCGATTAGGTAAAATCTAATGACTTACAAAAGAAAGGGAGATGAGGAAATGTTGCTACTACAATATTAGTTATAATTTCATAAACAAATATTCAAGGATGTGATATTGTGATTTAGTTTAAGGGGTGCTCAAAGACTCAATAGAGGAGCAAAGCATGTAGACTAACAAGTTAAACTTGTATATCATCATGTAATAAAACATAGTACATACTAGGTATCATAAAGAAAAAACTGCTAAGTGTTAAATGAGACTTGTCTGTGATTTATTTGTTATTTAATGTTATTGTTATATACTTTAGATGTTTTAATGTTTAATGGATCTGTGATAATAAAACCTGACTTACAAAAGAAAGGGAGATGTAAAAGGAACAATCTATGTAGATTGACATGACAATCATGACACATGTCAAGTCAAGCTTAAACAGCGGAAGCTCTCCATTATAATAAATCAGTCTCACACAAGCAGTTGTTGAGTACACTTCATTTCAAGTCCTCTCTCCCCTCTCCCATCAGTGCACCCATCACACTCTAAACACCCGGTATCTCTTGAAAGCCCATCCATTACTGAAGATTTTCAACCCCCAAAACGATTCCACCGAATAAGGTATAACACACAAAAAATATCAACCTTGTTGAAATGACGTCTGGCGGTCGTTGGCTTTCAGTCTATAGAGAACGATTTCTGAAATTCAATTGACTATTCTGAAATACAATCGATGCTTTCTGAAATTCAATTGACGCTTTCTGAAATTCAAATGATACTGTCTGAAATACAATTGACACTTTCTGAAATTCAATTGGCTATTCTGAAATTCAATTGGCTATTTTGAAATTCAATTGGCTATTCTGAAATACAATTGATGCTTTCTGAAATTGAACTGACTATTCTGAAATACAATTGACGCTTTCTGAAATTGAATTGACTATTCTGAAATACAATTGATGCTTTCTGAAAAACAAGTGACTATTCTGAAATACTGATGGGGACTGTGCCCTTTTCTTGTATGAGCGTGAATGAGCGGAGAGTGGACTGTATAATATCTTGATTGAGATTTTCGAGAGTTTGCTTGATTCCAATTATGGGGTTAAGGAATACTTGCGAGAGAGACTTTCTTTATGTAGGTTTATTCTAATTTAATTCGTGCGAATATACAACTATACAAATACTTAATATAAAGCTAGGTTTTATATGACATAAGTAGTTAAACTAGGACATCATGACTACAGGCATAGGGAAATACACGCTTTAATCTTAACTGGAACGCGGCCTGTGTTCTAGCGGGGAAGTGGGGTAGCGGGAGCGCGAGCTTATCGAAACCGCAACAATAACACTTTAATGACAATAACAAGATTGAATTTTCATATACAGGGCGTTTGAGTTGATTGAAAATTGGAAAAAATATATACAGAGTGTCTCACAGTTCGCGGTCCCATGTTTTAGCATGGAAGAAGTGTTTGAGTTGAAATAAATATATACAGGGTGTTTGAGTTGATGAAAATTGGAAAAAAATATATACAGAGTGTCCCACAGTTCGCGGTCCCATGTTTTAGCATGGAAGAAGTGTTTGAGTTGAAATAAATATATACAGGGTGTTTGAGTTGATGAAGATTGAAAAAAATATATACAGGGCGGCCCATGGGGGTGAAAGAATACGAAAACGAAGATAAATAAACTATTTATTTGAGTAATCCTTTTCTACAAAAATGACATGCCTCTTGAGAAGATGGCGGTCCATCCCAGTGTGTGGTCCAATCGGGACGATTATA